ATTTTTGAATGAATTGAAAAAAATATATCGAAATTACTATCAAATTAACTATTTAATAGTTCTCATTTTTGTGGTTTAATTTCTTTAATTCAATTTTTTGTTATAATTTAATTTAGATTTAATAACAAAATAATTTATTTTTGGTTTAATAATATGATTTTTTATAAAAATAATAATTAAATATTTTGTTAGAACTCAATAATTATCTTAATTATATTTTACATTTTCAATATTTAGAATGAGACGTTTATCTTGCATTTGATTATGTTTATACTTATACAAATTTAAAAATAAAGTTTTAATAAGTCAAAATTACTTGTAATATTAAATTTTAAATAATATACATCAATAAACAATATTTCTTATAAAAATCATAAATTTTAAGAGTTTTTATCAAACAAAATTTTAAAGTTCAATAAAATAAAGTAGCACTTTAGAAAGGCCTTAGAGACTTGGGCCTAACCGGGTTTGCCCACAAGGATCAAATCGTAAATTCACAACTAATAAAAAAATAATTAAAAGAAAAAAATGTCAAGAATGGGATTCGAACCCATGCCCTTTCGGACCAGTACCTGAAACTGGCGCCTTAGACCAACTCGGCCATCTTGACTTGATGATCACATCTTTTCAAGAATAAAACATGGACTTAGGTTTAGAGGGAAAACACAAATATGTATCAAGAATGTTAAAAGACCTGGGAAACCGAAAAATTAAAGGACCGTTTACCTAAATACTTACCCGATAATCACTTACATGTAAAATTCAACATATAGCTTACTTATCAAATGAGATTTTATTCACTAAAATGCTTCATATGCAACAATTAATCATGGTAAATGCTAACCATGGTAAGAGTCCTCGTCCCCATTTACCAGGTAAGACTCTCGATTCATGTCTTCGCTCTTACCATGTAAGATTCTTAGTCTTTGTCATATTTATCCGGTAAAGTAAAGTTGCTTGATAAGCGTTTGCCCTGGTAAGCGTTCGGTAAACGGCACCTAAGTGGAACCGTTTGATTCGAAACAGAAAAAAACGACTATTCACTGGTCGGTTTCGGTTTTGACTTTTAGGTAATTGTGGGTACATGAACCGAACTAGGTATAATGTATATATAAGTTATATGAGTAAAGTTTTTTTACGTTTTGATGTCAATAATTACGGTGGATGATTAAACTTGGCAGTATGAAGTCGACATTAACCAAAAAATAGATGTTTATAAATAATTAAACTTATTTTAATTTGTTGCACTTTGATATTTTTCCATTTATTTGTTGTGTAATTGTTTTAAATATTATATTCCGGTGCCATTTTTATATTGTAAATGACAATTTTTATAAATTCGGGTAAAACCCTGAACCAAATCACTGGTAACCACCTTAAGTCAGTTCGTTGCAGTTCGGGTTCGGGTAGCCAGGTATCCGCCTCGTGTTGTTCGGTTCACATTTTTTCTACTAACCCGAGCTGAACCCTGACCATGAACACCTATAAATTATATCTTATAGATTTTAACACATTTTCCATAAAAAGAATTGCATTCAGTTTCAACAGATTCTATATTTTAGAGATTTTAAGATAAATTATATTATTATAATATTTTCTAATTTATCCTCCCAATACATTTTTTTAAGGAAACTTTATATAAAATAATAATAATTTAATCATTTCTCTTTCTCGATATCAGGTTCTAGAGAATTCTCTTAACTTTTAAGTTTTTCATGTTTTCTCTATTTTACTGAATATTATAGAGAATCTATCGGATCAATATAGAGAACAAAATTTTCATTTTCTTTATTTTGAAAAATCTGTTGAAAATATTCCGATGGTCTACAATTAACCTAAATTCCACAAGCTTTTTTGTTATATAATTGAGTTGAAGCATATAATAGACATGCTCGTTCCAATCCGATAGAGACGATGTTACACCTGTACCGACCCTATAGAGTACATATCGATAGGACGAGTTATGATTAAACAAAATATAAAAGTTTGCACCATATATAATATTAAAAGTTTTACAAATTAAGCAATAAAATGTTTTAAATGACAAAATAACATATGAAGTTTGCATAAATATAATCAATCTCTTAACGGTCTTTGAAAGGGCCTTTGGTCTAGCGGTATCGTATTCTTTGGCCTCCTAGAAGGTAAGAGGTCCAAACCTCATCAAAGATGGAGAGGGTGCGTGATTTTATTTGTTGCATTTGTCGTATATAAATATTATATACTTCAAAAAAAATAGTAAAGACCTACGACATTATAACTAGGTTAAAAATATAAAATATATATAACTCATAAAAGAGAAATGACTATTTCAGTCAATTTCCCAAATTTCAAGGCTCGTATTCCATGACACATTTTAACACCTTCTGACATGACCTTAATAATGGAGTCATATGAAAAGGTTCGTTCAAATCAAAACCTTCACTCATACAATTTACCTAAGCTATTTCTTTAATAGTTAATGATTGTGTGAGAAGTAGAGTTAAGATGAGAAACGTAAAGAAGGAATATATATCCTTAATCACATTTAATCTCAAACTCACCCATGAAACGCACTTGAATCGGGAATTGATCCGGTGCATCTCATTCTAATGTGCATTAAATGGTGAATATCTTTTTGTACGTTTCTCACATTAACTCTCATTCTCATCAGAACCCAACCTTTTATTTAATTTTATCATCTTATGTTAGATATTATTATTTAATGGTTTACTTTTCTAGATATTATTTTAATTATAAACAAGTTTTATAACAATTTCAACATATGTGGACCATAATGCCTTCTTTCAAGGCATGCCATTCAAGTGAATAGTTTTGTTTATGAAGGATACTTGACAATTGGTTTTGCACAAAAGAAAAGGGTTACATTAAATGAATCTAAAATTTAATAATAAAAAATGTTCGATTTGATGTTAAATACTTTTAAACATTCTCATAACTGGTTAAACCACAAACTGATTTTTATTCTTAAACTTACAGACTTATAAAACTTTACAGATTTCTCTTTCTGCTTTACATGACCCATCCTTGTCTTCAACAACTTTCTACTGAGCTCGAGAGACGAATTCCGATGCAAAAACAACAGTTGCTTCTCAAATGCACCAGCTATATTTTTTTTGTTATTGTTTTCCATTTTGATGTCGATCTCCTTTGTAGGAGCTCAACCCTCCACGCCCCCACATAGATATGTATATGTTATTTTTTTCGAAGAAAAGATATCATAATACTGATCATAGTCGTTGTTCTTGTAGTGCTGTTTTCTTCATGGTTTTTTTTTCTCCCGATTTACATTTGCTGGTGGTTAAATGATGGTGGTGGTGTATGTACGTCTCTTCCCACACGTCGTGCAGGCAAAATAGTTGCGCCCAACCATGGCCTTGATGCAGAAGTGCTCGAGACTTTCCCAACTTTCACTCGCTCCACCATGAAGGAGAAGAACGAAAAGGGAGATCTAGAATGCGTAGTTTGTCTCAATGAATTTGAGGACAACGAAACTATCCTATTGATCTCTAAATGCGATCATGTGTGCTAAACATATCTCATTCCCAAACACGTGTCATTTCAACTAGCCAATGAGTTAGAGTTACAAGTCAGAGTTGGAATTCATAATTAGACAACAAACGAAGGAATCCTTAAAGTACAAGGGATGAGCGGAATGAAAAAGAAACACAAATCAACAACCCACATCATTAAATAAGGTATTATTCATAATGTCGTGTGATCATTTTACTAAAAAAATGATTGTCAACTCAACAAAAAACCAGTATCATGTAAGATCTTACTTTTTTTGGTTTGGGGGGGGGGGGGGGTGTAACCGTGGGTTTCCGGGTTAACTTTTGCACACCGACTAATCCTCCACATGACCATAAATATCCTCGAGTCATCACAGGTGAACCTCCGTGAACATAAATATCCTTGAGTCATTGCAGGTGAATCTCCATGACCATAGGAGCTTTGGTACCGTTTGGATCCAAACACGAGGTAGATGAGATTTACTATTACCTCATTCTAATATTTAACCAGTGTGCCACAAATCTGACTTGATTATTATGTAAATTGACATCAAAAATAAAAAAGATTTAAATTCTCTTATTTTAACGGAAGAAAAAAAGTTAATCCTTAAACTAAAGAGGTGTTTGGGATTGTTTATTTGAAACAACGTATACTTTTATACAAAAGCATTTATCAACTTATTACAAGTCAAAAGAGTTTAACTTCTTAAAAAATTATTTATTATCGGCTTGACACTGGTATAAGTTGTTTTTCCAAACACTCAAAAGTACTTATTATCAGTGCCACAATCGAAATAAGTCAATAAGTTGTTTTTATAAGCAATCCTAAACAACCCCTAAGGGGGTGTTTGAGATTGCTTATTTAAAACAACTTATGCTTTTTTTGTAAAAGTGTTTATTAACTTATATGGTATCAAACTGGAGTTAAATAAAACAAGGTTAAAATTATAAACTGGTAATAAATAGTTTTTCATAAGTCGGGAATGATTAACTTATAAAAAACAGCTTATTACCGGTTTGACATCAGTATAAGCAGTTTTTTTTTCTTATCCAAACACCATAAAACAACTTATAACTGGTGCAAAACTGAAATAAATTAAAAAACAGTTTTTATAAGCAATCCCAAACACCCCCTAAATAAAACGATAACAAATGGGTTGTTTTGTCAAATAAAAAAGGTAAACTACAATTTTAGTCCTTGTGGATTGTTAAAATCACAACTTTAATTCTTATGATATTGAAATTACGGTTTTTGTTAATGTGGTTAGGAATTCATTGTTATTTTGTTTTTTTAAGGCTGCCAATGGTTTACCGTTAAGAATACTTGACTACATCGTCGACAAAAACCGTAATTTCTAAAGTACAGGGACTAAAATAAGAATTCTTACAAACTATAAGGACTAAAAACGTAGTTTACTGTAAATGGAAAATACAATCGTTCCTTTTGTAGACTTCATTTACCATCTTGACTACATCGTCGACGACGCAAGCAAAAAAGAAGCCCAATTTCTACTGTAATTTCACTTCTCCTTCGTCTTCTCGTCGCTAGGGTTTTTCTTTAATTCAGATTTCAATTAGGGTTTGTTGTATCGATTTCAATCAACCTTTTCATCTTATCAAACATGCAGCATCAAAAACCCTATAAAATTCTCTCTTTTTTCGTTGCCCTAATCGTGAGATGAGTTTTTGATGACCAATCGACGATGGATCCGAACGCTGTGGTGTTGGAAATAAGCTCCGATGAAGAGGTTGGTTGGGAAGGTCACGATGGCAGAGGAATTTCAATCACTGATGGTGGTGACGATCATAATTGGATAGCAGAGCTTCTGGATGAGGTTAATAGAGACGATTGCGGTTATTATGATGGAGCTGATGATTCCGATGAAGTGGTGTTAGTGAGTGAGGTTTTGCCGTCGAAAAAACCAAGGAAGAAATTGACATCGAAGTCTTCTTCTTTAATTGACTTAGACGACGACTGTGTGATTCTCGATCATGACCCGGATAAGTCTTTGGGGACTCCGAATGATACTCCGATCGCCGGCGCCGGCGACGAGGATGATGATGATTCCGATGATCTGCTTGTTGTTAGCGAAAAGGGGCAGGTTTGGATTTTATCATTCTGTGATTGTGAAACTAGTTAATGATGTCCATTTTCATGAATTTAGGTATTAAAATTAGGGTTAACACGGCATTTGTAACTAGAATTTGAGAATCGCACAGTTTGTGACCATTACTGCATTCATAGGTAGATGGAAGTGCATATAATGCCGTTGGCCGCTTTGGGTACATTCGGTACATCTGATCAAGTCCTGTAAGAATAAAGTTTTTTGTGTGGATTAATACGTCGGTATATATCGAGAAAGTTTTTGTTTATGATGGTTTTTTCATAGATGGAAACAGACTGTTTTTTTTATTGCCAGAGACATGTTTCGAAAAAACTTGGTTTTCTGCTTAAAGCTCCATCCCAAAATTACTGAATAAGCCATTTTTTATGTCATTAAGCCACCACCAAACAGTCAACTGAATAAGCTGAGTCACGTTAAACTCATTAAGCTACTAACAAGCAGGTTCTTAGCCAGGACTTGAGCCTGTTTGTTAGAGCTTAAGGAGCTTAATGAGACTCGTATCTTGTTCGGTCAACTATACATGACTGTTTGGTAGTGACTTAATGATATAGAAAGTGGCTTATTCAGTAAGTTTTTTTTGGAGAGCTTTATGCAGAAAGCCAAGCTTCTCCAAACCTACCCTTCCCAATTAAAAAACAAGGTCCTTCCATCCATGAAAAAACCATCATAAACAAAAACTTCCCTAATCGATACAGACAGATTAATCCACACATACAACTTTATCCATACAGGACTTGGTGGAAAACAACCAAGAGGGTGAAAGAATTGTGCAAGGATTAAGGGTTTTAATTTGACGTGGTGGGTAGTTTAGTAATCTACCAATCTTCATGATTTTTTTCCACTTATGTCTCTTTTCCCAGTTTTAGTGTCACACCAAACGTGGGAAAAACAGGTTTTTGTCTAGTCCCACGTATCAAACACATCTTTAATATTAGAGTCGAGTCTTCACATTGAATCCAGACAGCTTCCTACTTAAGGGTGCATTTGGTACACTCGACATGACATACCAGAACAGTTGTTTTGTCCTGTTCTGTACTGTCCTATCTTGTCCGGATATCAAACATACCCTAACGGAACAGTACCCAAAAATGCAATGCAAATCTAAAAGTCGTTTAACTTCTGCAAAAAAAAATCTTGTTGCAGGTTGCGTGTCGAGATTATCCCCATCCAAGACACCTTTGTATCAAGTTCCCTTTCTCCTCTTCTCCAAACCAAACTCACTGCCATCAGGTAATTTCGTGATAAATTATTTGTTAGTTCGGATCTGCAAAGAACGACTTCAAAAGTTGGTGTAATATGCTCGTTTGATCTTTATACTATTAACTTTGAATGACAGTGCTACTGTTATGTTTGTGACTCGCTTGCTCCTTGCATCTATTGGGGCAGTGGCAGTTCTGTTCTCGACCATTGTCTTGCCACTGATAAAGACGATTTTTGGAAACTCGAGAGACAAAATTCCAAGAAAGAAAGTAAACTTGTCCAATCCGTTCTTGAACTTGCTGACCCAAGTCGGTTGCCCCCTATAAACCTGCCCCCACCAGCATCTGATCTTTTTCCAACTCAATCTGCAGCCCAGAGTCAGGTTACTAGGCCAAGTCCTATGCGGGCATCCCCCAATCCGCCCAACTTTGGAGTCCCAGATGTCGTTATCGAAAACAGAAGCCCGTTTTTGTTATCCAGGAACAAGTATCAACCGGGTTTAGTATCTCAACAGTTGATAAAAACAACTAGTTTTACGAATCCAAGAGATAGGGGGCAACCTAATTATAATCTAGCTATTCCGTTTCATGGACCCGTGTTTAAACGAAGAGGATCGGCTGCAGTTCCGCCAGCAGGAAACCGACATTCTTATAGCTCGTACAGGGATCGTTACAGAAACTCCCATCCACCAAGCGGCGGAAACCCCTGCAGGCAACAGGACCATTGTGTGAATGAAATGGTTTCGGGGCCAAATATTGTCAACACTAGTGGTTCGTTTTCTCCACTGAATCTTGGATTGTCAACCACAAACTCCGAACAACTGCCGGAATTCCCCCATCATCAGCCAAGTTCAAACACCACCCAGTTTGAGTTCTCACCAAGTTTTCAACCAGAAGTAAATTCGGACGTATATATCGAAAACCCAGTTGGTTTTCAACCCCATCTGGTGACTTGTCAACCTCAAGGGCAATCTTTTCTACCAAATTATGCAATTCCTTGTGAAGCTCCAATACATGGGCCCTCGATTCCGATTTTGGTTTATACCAAGCAAGGAAATGAAGCTCAAAGGCAAAATATCGATCCAGGATTCTTTCAGGGGATCAGCTGGCCGTTAGGCCAAAGTGGTGGCCGGAGCTCCGTAGTTGAAGGCACGACGGCAACAAACGTGCCAAGCGTTCCTGGAGGATTGGTTGATTACGAGTATGATAATTGGGGTTACAATTGTGAAGCAGGGGCGATGGAGTTTCCTGGAGCGTTGGAGTCGGGTTTCGTAGAGACAGGTACGGGTTTCGAGTTTTAAGGCTTTAGGGTTTGATTTGATATAGTTATGTATGTAAACTATTTTGCTATTTGGTTAATAGCAGAGAATGGAAGGCGAAATTGGTGTTGAAATCCAAAAGAGGAAGAGGTGCGTTTTTATTATACATAATGTGTATAGGCTTTACTCGTATGTGGTATGTAGTTTGAAATAGGAATCTGAATGTCATTTTTCTTCTCAATCAAATCTACCACCATATATATATATATATATATAGAGGGTTGGTTGAGTTTACGTGAGACCAAGGGTTTTTCGTGAAGCCCGTAAGAATAATTTATGTTCATTGATCAACTTTATAAGTTAATGATCTAATGGTCTAAAGTTGCACGGTGACAATTTTGTGATTATTGAGAATTCTCGTGACAATTTTGTGATTATGAATGTTTAGATTGATCTAATTCAAGGGTTGAGAATTGGTCTTACGGGTCTCACGAAAAACCTGGGTCTCACATGATCCCAAGTCTCTCTCTCTCTCTCTCTCTCTCTCTCTCTATATATATATATATATATATATATAGGGTTATAAAAAACCAAGTATTTTTCACTCGGAAGTAGGGTCTGGGGATCTGTTATCTATCTTGAATAACAATAGAGTGATTGTTTCCGTGAAGACCACATGCTTATGAAAAAGTGTTGGTACTTTGTAAGGTTGTATAACATTACAGTATGTTTGGTATCCAAACACTGTAGAATAGAGAAAGAAAGAACAATTGTTCAGTGTTTGGTACGATAAAATTGAGCATGCTAATATAGATAAAAATGACTGATTTACTCCTAAGAAATTGATATATTTTGATTATTTTATGTAGTTTATTAAACTATAATAAAAAATATTTTTTTATAACAAAATATATCATTAGAAAATTTTGTCAAGACGATTAAAGGGATACTAAAATAAAAAGTTTATGTAGTTTATAATTTTTATTTTATACATTTTTTATATTATTAATATCTAATAAATTACATAAAGTAATCAAAATATAAAAACTGTATAAAAATAATATTTTGAACATAATAAAGTGGGAGTTTAAAATACATAAAATATAATTAATAAAATTCTAAAGAATGAATGGAATGTAAAGAGGGAGACGTATTCGATGTTTTAGAAGAGAATTGTGTTTTATTTTGAAATAATATTGGTAAAATATAGGTCTGTTCGATGTGGTTGAGTGGAACATGTTTGTTCTACTTTATTTATGTCGGATCTAAAAGTTTTGTCAAACGTGAAATATTCATCCTTGTTCAGCTCGGTGCACCAAACGCATCCTTAGAGGCGTTTGTAGGCCTTGATCGTTCAGATGTAAATATGGATGTTGGTAAAAATACTATTGCGTTTGGGGAAAATAATAAAACAACTATAGTATCATCGCATTTTATTGCACTTGCAATGCTTGGAACACGATCACAACATATTGTTGTTGAAGTTATGGCGTTTTTTGTTATCTAGGAACAAGTGTTATTTTATCCGATAAGTGAGGGAGAAGACTCCTAATTAGTTAGCGTTTTTCAGATCAAAGATGTTTACCATCAATTCATTTTGATGGTCGAAAATGTTACTCGATATGATACGTTAGTTGTTAGGTGATACTCTTGTTGGCAAGCAGACATTGATTTTTGTTATTATCCTTTTTCATTTTTAATTATTAAGTTATTAAAACCTTTTTTGAATAAATATACCATAAATTTTTAAAAAATGGTTATCTATATCATTTTTAATCCAAAAAAGCTACTTGAAACATGTTAAGTTTCAAAGTAGAAGAAAATCTAAATCAATTTTACTCTTTCCAAATTCGACGTCATTCAGATTCCTTGTCGTCTCATCGTCTTCCACTCTTTATCACCGCCGTTGACCCTTATCATCGATCTTTATTTATTTATTTATTGGTTTTCAATCTCCATCTTTTGTTACATGTTTATACATGTTCCATTGACTTGTTATAAAATAGAGAGAATCGAAAAAGAACAGATTAAAAAAAAGGGAGATTGATAGCAAGGCCAACAGGTAGCGATGTGTCGCATAGAGAGTGGATGACAATGGGGAGATAAGGAGTGGTGGGGGCAGGGTGATGCTGTTTTGTGCAAAGGTTTGAATATCCTTGGTTTGGAAACAGTAAAATTGATTTACTGTTTTGTTTTTACTTAAAAATATTCTTAGTCAATTACATATAACTTTTTTTAGATTATAAAAAATATGGGTAACCACTTTTCAAAAATACGATTGTTTATTTATCCAAAAATGTTTAAGGATTTAATTAGTTATTTTTTCATTTAAAAAATAGTTTAGAGGCTTAGGTGCCGTTTATCAAACGCTTACCCGAGTAAAGAGTAAGCGCTTAACAAGTCACTTTATTTTACCGGATAATATGACAAAGACTAAAAATCTTACCCGATAAGAGCGAAGACAAAAATCAAGTCTTACCCGGTAAGTGGGGACGAAGACTCTTACTATGGTTAGCGCTTACCGAGATAAATTGTTGCATACGATGCGTTTTAGTGAATAAAATCGAACCCCATAAGTGAGCGATAGTCTTGAATTTTACCGGTAAGTGTTTAGGTAAACGACCCCTTAATCATTCAAAACGGATAAACCAGTTGGATTTTTTTAAACTTTCCCTTGGATGTTTTTCTTTTTTATTATAGTCGAGGATATTTTGTTTGAGCCCTCTAATCGAGGGCGAACTTCCTCGAGCTTGCATCAAAAAACCGAGTTACCTAATCGGGTTCAAGCTTAGCCTAACACCATTGAATCGAACTCGAGCTTTGCTGTTTGCAAAATACAACGTAAAAGAAAGACCAAATGCACCCATGGTTCATTACTAAAAGTTATGGTCCTTCACACAATAAAAACAGAGGGAATCTGGGGATATATAGGTTAATAAGCGTCGTTGGCTTTTATTTTGGACTTGAAAATCCTCCAACCTCAATCGGCCTCGTTTCAAACCTCGAGCACACAACGTAGACAATCTCCTCCATGCAACAAATCAAAAGCCTTGTTGATCTCCTCCAGTTTCAATTTATGCGTTATGTACTCATCGATCTTGATTTCCTGCAAAATCGCAAAACAGATCACGGTATGTAACTTTAACTAAAACCAAACACTTATTCACTTTGGACTCGGAGTGGGGTTTGGTTAAGGCACCGTTTGTTTGTTCGTTCGTTTAGTTAAACGAACAAACATGAACAACGGTGTTACACGTTCTTTTATCCCGTTTAAGTTCACCCGATTTTTCATTTTGTTAAGTTATTCTTTTAGGAACGAAATGATAAACAATGGTGGTTGTTTTTTGTTCATTTGTGTTTGTTTATGTTCATTTGTTCAGCATTCTAACAAACGAATGTAAACAAACAAGAACAAGCACCTTTTCTTAATGAACGATCATGAATGTAAAAAAATTGGTCATTTAGCGTTCGTGTTCGTTCGTTTGTTTGGTTTGGAGGTTTATTCGGTTCGTTTATAGACCTAGGGTTTGGTTTACCTTCTTCATATATTTATCAACAAGCTGAGGCACTTGTGTACGGCTCTTAAAACCACCAAAGGCCGTGCCTTTCCAAACACGACCAGTAACCAACTGAAACGGTCGAGTGGATATCTCTTGACCCGATGCTGCAACACCCACGATAACAGAAGTTCCCCATCCCTGTGTTTTTTATACGATTAGTTCATACCAGTTTAAGAAGACCGCATAATGATAAGGTAAATCTTGAAATAATATTGCTCACCTTGTGACAGCACTCCAAAGCAGCCCTCATTATTGAAACATTGCCGATACACTCAAAACTGTAATCAACTCCTCCATCTGTCATATCAACAAGAACCTGTTGTATCGGTTTCTCGTGGTCTTTAGGGTTCACAAACTCCGTCACACCAAACTGTTTTGCTGCAATTTATATTTCACATTTAAAAAGAAACATGAGTCCCTCAAGTTTCTTCATCGCATCACCCTACCGAAAGAGATGAAATGAAATCCCTTTTAGAAGAAAGGGCAAGGATCATGCATACCTCGATCGAACTTTCTAGGGTCAATATCTATCCCAATTATTCGTGAAGCACCAGCTGCTTTTGCACCCTCTGCCACCTATCAAATGGTATTCAAATGTTTTTCATTTCAATAAAAGTGATGTCGGAGTTCATACTCATGACAGTAATGAAGCAATCATCTTATATTACAAACTTACTGCAAGACCAACAGTTCCAAGACCAAAAATAGCAACATTTGAACCAGCTTCAACTTTGGCTGTGTTCCAAACTGCACCAAGACCTGAAGGCACAAAGTAGAAGGGAAATCAGATATACCAATAGATTGCTGAATATAAAATCAGATACACCAACACTTAATAATTTGCAAAGAGGCAAATCATTCACGGGATTACCATACAGAGATCATTTGTAGTAATATCTAATGACCAACTGAGCAGATTTTTTAGAAACCCCAAGCAACGACACATACAGATGCCAACAGAACAAGAATTTGCTGGAAGTGAAGAAAATTTTACCAGTAGGAACACCACAACCAAGAAGGCACACTTTCTCCAGAGGAGCTTGGGGATCAATCTTTGCAACACTTACATCATGTACAACAGTGTATTGACTGAAAGTAGAGGTTCCCATGAAATGATATATCGGAGTTCCTTTGACTGAAAAACGACTCTTACGATCATTCATCATGACACCAACTCCAGTGGCTCCTCTAATTTTGCCACAGAGGTTGGTCTTCCCTGATTTGCAAAACTTACATTCCCTGCATTCTGCCTGATAACAAGGTATGACATGGTCCCCAGGTTGAACTTCAGTCACCCCTTCACCTACACTCTCTACAATCCTGCATTTTAATATTAGAATATAATCCCACTTTCCGTTAAGAGAGCAGAAACTTAGGTCCAGTTTGTTTTGCGGCATTGGATTGGATTAGGAGGGATTTGGAATTGAATTTCCTTCCAATCCCATGTTTGGTTTGAAGGATTTCTTGGATTTAAAATCACGGAATTTCATTGAAATCCCACAAACATAGGATTTTGAAATCCCTTGGGGGTGCTTGGTATTTTATGGGATTTGGTAGGATTATGTATAATAATATTTAAAAAACGTTAAAAACATTTGTTTTGTAATAATCAATAAAAATGTAATTTACTTATTTATAAATTGTTTTTATAAATTATTTATAAA